ATTAAAAGTTTTGAATTAGTAAAAATAACTAAATTATAAAGGTGAAAAAATTGTGAGTTATAAAAATATTATCAAATAAAATATAAATAATTTTCAGTAAAACTCTAATCAAAATTTGAAAGTAAAAAAAAAAATTACACAGTATCATCAAATAAAATATTAATAATTTTTAGGAATGAATTTAGAAGTAAAAATAAATAAAGATATTGGATTTGTGATCTTAGATCTAAAAATATCTTATAAATAAATTTGAACTCACATGTAATCAATTTCCCACCATGTAAATATTGATTTTACCGAAAAGATCACATGATCTCTATTTATTATTTAAACAATATACAGACTCAATTAAGTAAAAATTAATATAGATAAAAAATTAATCATAAACCTAGACATAAGAACAAAATTACTAATTAAACATTTTATTAAACTAAGATGAAATCACCTTTCAAATTACATTAAAATTAATTTGGCAGAAAAAATATTACATTAAGTCTATTTAACAAATATTAAAACTTAATTATATAAAAAAAATTATAAAAACCAAAACAAATCACATATCTAAATATAAAAATTAAATTACTAAAAATATTTGTCTAAATAAAAAATTTCATTATTTTCTAAACATAATGATGAAAAGAGTCGAAATTAAAGTGTTTTCCAACAATAATAATAATCCTCAAATAACTATCAAATCATATTGAATCTGATACTTAATCAATCTGAAAATCCATACTGTCTGAAAATCCGTAAATTATTATATAATTTTTCCTTTATACAAGTCAAATTGTTTAATCATGTTCGTATTTAATAACACTAACTATATCTATATTAAATGAAATCACATTCATATATGTTGCAAAAGAAAGTGTGTACATAATAAAAATTAACACGCTTATAATAAAACTTACGAAATATTTATTTTATGATAAATGTAAATAGATGCAATAATTATTTCTGTAATATACAATTCTTTCATTTTAGAAAAGGAAAGTTGAAAAATAAAAAAAAAAAAGTAAGACCTTTTATTGGACAATAAAGTATAAATATATAATAAAAAAAATTAAACTGTACTGAGTGGAAAAAAATAATTTCAAAATATAAACACGTGACATTAATTTTAGACAATTTTATTATTAGCAAAACTAAGGAAATGATCTACCACATTTAGTCTAAGATGGCATCCACCCACTTACCTCTAACAAGGTCCACGGTAGATTAATTCAAAGGGGAAAATATTGACTAAAAACATGTTAAAGAAAATATTTCAATAGTTGTGAATTAATATAATTGTAAATAATTGATATTTAATAAACTACAGTTGTTTGTATATGTAAACTAACTCAAACTTCACCCTAAACTTATATACATATATATTTATAAACTAACTGAAATTTCATATTTTACCCTTTTTATAACATTATGGAATTATGAACTTGCTTCTTTTAATAAAGTACTAAATAAAAAAAAATTAGAAATGAATAATATTACTTTTCCAATATTATTATCATTATTTTAGTTTAAAATGAAAATGAATATAGTTAAATGTCTCTTTCTCTAATAAATCAATTCATTGTGACTCGTCCTAAAATTGCCTTTGCAGTGAATGCAATAAGTGAATTCTTGAACTCTCCTTGTGAAGATCATTGGGATGCAATTGTACAAATCCTAAGAAATATTTTTGGGAAAGGCCATGTGTATAATACACAAACGGTTTAGCACTTGATGCTAACGGGGCAACCTCACCTAGTGATAGACACCCTATTTCAAGATATCGTGTTCTTGTTAGGAATACTTTAATATCTTTGAATAACAAGAAACAAAATACTGTATCAAGATCAAGTGTAGAAGTAAAATACAAGGCAATGAATGGCTTTAGTCACCAATGAGCTGATATGGGTAAACTAATTTCTCAAAGAACTTAAATTTTATGAAAATTCCCAAATGCACCATTTCAAAGGATTAATATGAAAGAAAGAAGATATTTATTCAAATTGACTAACCTGAAATAGTACAGCAGTATCTATATATGGACAACTGTAACTCTAAAGAAATAATTACAAAAAGATCTCACAAACATTCTAACAGCTTCTAGTAGAACAATGAATATCCTACTAACAACAGCACCATATATGTGACAAGCTATCAGCATTACACACTGCCTCTGATCTTGTCTTTCATGAAAGAACCAGATGTGTAACTTGTAAAATCATAAAAGAAAACTTGGAACCAAAAGATATCACCACGACATTAGTCAACTATATTGCTAACAGACATATTCACCAAGTCTTTAAAAGGATCAAGGACCAATAAAATGTGTAGAGAGCTCAACACATTCCAACTTGAGGTAGAGTTTTGTAAACAAAAAAATAAGGATCATATCTTTATAATTAGAAATATTAAGATCGTATTGCTATTACTAGTGACATTTATTCAGGTATCATACCAAATCTCCTCTATTTATTGAATTGATTTCATTTTCTCAATATAAATAAATCAGTTGTATTGACATAGGAACACAGGTTTGACACAAACCAAATCAATGTCACAAAAGAAAACACAAGTCACTAGCATATGATACCAATTCAACAACCGAATGATAGATATAAATAAAGTAATCAATGAAGTGGTATTCCAAACAGAACCTGGAGCATTAGTGTTGGGATTTGCGGTAGCTCCAAGAACACCACATCTTGTGCTGTTGAGAAATCAAGTCCAAAACCTGCTGCTAGAATACCTATTATTGCAATTTTAACCTTCAATAGAAATGCAACCCATAAGTCAGTAATCTTAAATGAAGAATGAAACCCATAAGTCGGTAACCTGGAATTCAGAACACATGTTGCATGCAAGTGCATAAGTACGGTAGTAAAGGGAGTTTGATGTTGACAAAAATGCTCAAGACAGTTGATGTTAGGAATGACATGGTTCTTACTTTTAGCATACACAACAAATTGTCTTTTCAGTGAGTGGAGCAAGAGCCTTGATATAATGACTTAATTTGCTTAAAAAAATTGCCAAGTTTCGATGCATGCCCCCAACAAGATTGAAAAAAAACATCAATTTGGAAAATAGAACAATAGAACAATGATAATAAAACTGAGTCTGATTGTCAGAAAACGCAACTTCAAAGTTGTTGATAGTGCAACATGAGAAATGGAAAGTAAAACAAGTTATAATTTCAAACACAATAACATAAACATAGAAAATATCATAAATAGGCAAACAAAATAAAGAAACCGATATTTTTTCACAATAACAAATAACTTGAGAAGAAAAGGCAATGGTTGCGATACCTCTGGTGACGACCTAAATGAGACTACTGCTGATTGCCTATCTCTGACAAGAGTATTTCCATCAATTCGAACAAAACTTATACCTTTCTCACATACAAACTCCTGAAAAGTTCAGAAAGATAAAATTCACATAAAAAAGATAGATATAAATGTTTGTTAGACATAATAGTCATCAAATCACAAGAGGCCAACGTAAAACAAAAATTATGATAGCCAATCAAATAAATGAAGACAGCAGGAGAACATCAGGCTCCAGCCACTACACAGGATTACTACTAGTCAAGGTGATTCCAAAAGTAAAATGCACCTCTTATTTACTTCATGAACGTAGTCCAGGAGCATGATTTATTAGGGCAATATTTTCCTTAAAAGTTCCTTCAAAGTTAAAGTTCAAAAAACAATCTTTAAAATACAGTAGAAGCTGTTTGACAATTGGACTTTTGTTAACACTTTTTTGGGTCTTATTGGATATTCTTGTGACCATCGGTACTATATGCCCTTTTGGCATGTAAGCAAATTTTAAATCTCCTAGGTTTTCAACTAGAATTCTGCTATTCATGTGGTAGGCAATCAAATTCACTTTTATGAAGTACTAATTTCCAAAGCTGTATTCTTTTAATGCAATTTCATCCCAATTTAGTACACCAATGAACTTAAAGTCTATCATGTGACCCAACAGATGACTCACAAATCAACATTGCACTGCAGTAGAGCTAAAGATTCCTTAACAATACCATCAGTTTCATCCAAATTTTCCATAACTATGTCTTCACTTTCCCTTTCAGTGGCATCAATACTTAATACCCCAATTGCAGTTTTAGCAGCAACAATATCCAATCTCTTTATCAACAGTCTTATAATTTGCCAACGTTTCGGAGGTAACTGTAGCATCATATGTTCCTTCAGACGCCTTATCTACAATGGACAACTTCATATAACTATGTTCTTTGCACTCAAGGAGAAAAAAAACAGACATAATTAAATAAACACCAGTATTAAGTATTTAAAATTAAAATGTGGCACTCAGTAACCAAATGAATATTTAAAATAAAAAATCACTCAATAAGCAGTAGCTAGTGAGAACTCAATAAATACTATTGTGAAGCCAAAATACAATTATTTACAAAACAACAATGTTTCCTTGGTATTGTTTGATATACTTAAAGGATATAAACCTATATGTAATAACCAAATCATCGAATTAAAGCAACAATCAAACCTTATCCTACAAGATGAGATTGGATAAACAAAACGAAAACAAAATCAGATCCCATTCATCAGAATCTAATTTAGCAGTACAAATTTCACAGCCAAACTGCTCTCATAGCTTCAAAATGCCAGGCTGGTCATTTGAAGAGCAGATGTCAAAAAAGAAGAACGCTTCTAGGAATGTAATTGATGCCAGTAATCAAAGAAAAAAAACACAGAAAAAAATCGAAGTACTGATCAGATGATTAATATGGGATGAGATCCCACCATAACAGTTTGATTCAGTAACAAATTTAACTCTTCCAAGCGCACACCCTTTGAATAATCCTGCAGCATAATCCCACCATTCTGTCAATTTCTTAACAGTGAATTACAACCCAAAAAGAAATATGAAAGCAAAACATATAAATTCCATCATTTTTTCCCTAATCATACTTAACTAAAGATTAAAAAGATGACAATCTTTATGTAAAAGATCGGGTATTAACAACACCTCCAAGAGGCTAAAACAGAATCTAAGAATTCTATAACCTTTGAATTAGACCCTTTTTTCTAATAATTTTATAACATTTTCATTCGCCAACTGCAACCATATTTAAATATATTTACCAACCAAGTTAAAGGAATAACAAAAGTAATCATCCTGAAATACATCATACAAAAGGTAATGATCTTCTGTTGTAAGAGATAACATCTTAGCATCAAGAACATAATTATAATGATATCAAAATATCTAAATACAGATGTTCTCCGGTATAAGGGGATAGAAAATGATATATCCATGCTACTGGAAGATTTCAAGTAAAGATTTCACCAGTAATCCCCACAAGAACATTTTCCATCCTTGAAATGATGAAACCTTTTGTTATCTCTAACAATTAATTCCCTCCCAACAATCCTGGACATGATCTTGATGGCATTGTGGCAGTCACCACAGACACGAAGGTTCTTGATGATTCTAAGAGGTGTTCTTGGTGGAGTACTAATAAGGCCATAGGCAATTGCTAGACGTTCACTGTGGTAGAGCAAGGCTTGCTCCTTTGCTTCTTGATCAATGTCATGAAGAACATATCTTGTATCAGGAACATATCCCGCATCTTTCATCCCACTCAAGGCCTTCAACTTTTCATCATCCTTGTAAAGAGTAGGATTCTTATACTCAATAATTCTGTTCCTTCCATCAAGCATGCTAATTGCAGTATACTTCTTCGGAGGTGGCGTGGGGATCTTATTCACAACAGCCTTTGATGGGTCAAGACTAACCATCAACTCTTCAGCATAGTCTTCAAGATCCACGTCTCCATGAACCCGAGCATAATGCTTCAGTTTCTCCCATACGGTTACAGTGGGCTCAAATGGCAATTTGGTAATAAACTCCTCAGCTTCATTGAGATATGCAGATTGTCCCAGAACATCCAAAAGCCCCATGTAGTGCTCCACCCCAGGCTCTATTCCCCACTTGCTTTTCATTGACTCAAAATGTACGTAAGCATCCTCCACAGCCTCTGCACTGGCACAAGCTGACAACACAGCAAGCAAAGTCTCTGAAGTAATCTCCAAACCCAGTTCATTCATTTGCTCAAACAACTGCAAGGCTTCATCCCCATTGGTGTTATTTGCGTAACCCCGCATCATCAAGAGCCAAGAATCCATATTCCTGCTGGGCATATGATCGAACACCCTACGAGCATCCGTCATGCTTTTACAATTCCCATACATTTCAATCACCTTGTTGTTGAGCATGAGATCACTCCTAAAAGAAGACTGCAGAAAGTGGTCATGGGCCTTCTTAGCATCTTCAAGGGACTTGGATTGGCCACACAAGTCAAACAGAAGATTGAAGCAACCAGCATCAGCTTTGACCCCTTTGTCCATCAACTCTATTGCTTCTTTAACATTACCCTCCTTGCACAAAAGTGCAAAATCAGTGATTGAAGGAGGTGGCGGTGGAGGAGCAGGGGATGCTTGTCCTTGAATAGATGTTTGATTGTTGTTCAGCTGGTTACTAGGGTTTTGGAATTGGTTAGGGTTTGGGAACCCCTGAGTCCTAGGGCTCCACGGATTCGAGGTAGCAGGGTTTTGATTGTTCCATCGATTGGGGGAAGTGGATGGGCGTAAGTTAGGATTTTGAGAAGTGGGAGTTTGAAAATTAGGGCTTTGATGGGTTGGGGATTGAGGATTCCACTGATTATGGTTTTGGCCATGTTCTGGAAATGAAGGAGGCACATTATGTTGACGAGGTTGATGGTTATGGTGAAGAAATTGATTGGTCTGTGGATTGAAATGTTGAGGCTGATGCTGCCATTGTTGGGGCTGTAAGTGTGTAGGATCAGAAGGTGACTGCTGTTGGTTTTGGTGGGAAGGGAATCTTTGATAATGGTGTGGAAGAGCAGAGGTGCTTAGAAATTTAGTGGTTAGGGTTTGGGTGTAGTGGTTGCCATGGATAAGGTGTGTCCGAAGCTTGAAGGAGGAAGAAAGCATTGTTGTACGAGCACGCTGAATCAATGGAAACGTCGCCATTTCTGAGCGAAGAAGTTGCAGAAGCAGCTAGGGTTAGTTCGTTCGATATCTAGGGGATACCCGTCTACGAACTCCACGTCCTACGATATCTAGTTTTAGTTCTAAAAATTTTAGTTTTAGTCCTCCAAAACTAATCTAGAAAACTATCACATTTTTAACGTGTTAGTTTTAGAAGATTAAAACCAAAAAGGATGAAAACAAAAAACGGTCAATAATTTAGGGACTAAAAACATATTTAACCGTTAAATAAATAATAACATTTAATTTACAAAATATTACCAATGAAATTAATAAGATAATTATTTTAATTAAAATATATATTTAATAAGATAATAACGTTTAAGCTAATTTTAATTTATGAAAAACAATTATTTTTACTTTTCTATTTTATAGATATTTATATAAATATATATATATATATATAAAAGTATTCACATTAGTTAAAGAAAAGACCAGAACATGTTGTATAAGTAGTTTAGAAATAAGTAAAAATGAAAGAATAAACTGAAAATTATTAATGAAAAATTGATAAATATTAAATGAATTGTTTATAATTAATTAATATATTTCTGTACTTGACTAGCTGTTTATAAGATTAAAATGTAAATTTTCAATATTAATTTTTTATATCAGAAAGTTTAATTTACATAAAACCTCATTTTTTATCTTTCTAATGCGGTTATTTGACCAATTTGATTCATAATATTTAATATATATAATATAGTATATATGAGAGCAAAATTATAATAAATTATGTATATATAAATTATATTGTTTCTAAAATTTAATTAAAGTTTTGCAGTGGGGCTAAACACATTTTAACCCTGACCCTAACCCGCTTGAGAGGGGGTTTTGGGAGTTAAGGCTTTTTTCTGGCCCCTACTTGAAGGACTTCTTAAAATAGGATTTTTTCAATAATGGATTGGAGCTGGCCCTGGGGCCATGGATTAAATTGACACCTCTAATTGTGGTTTTGTTGAAAGTTCTTTAACCTAGTCTTGATAAGTCATGCTAGTTATCAATATGTTCTTTAAAGAAGAGATAAATATTTTGTATTGTATGGAAAACATTTAATGCATCTCTAAGTTCATGAATGAATAGATGAATACTTGAAAATGAATTTGAAGTGAAATTTCTCAATCAACAAAAAAGAAACATAAGGTAAATCTTCATTTTCCTTTTCTATGTTCATTATATTTTATTGCACCACTCTAATGAAAGAAGAGAAGTTTTATGAACCAAGTTTTAGAAAATACTTTTGACATATTATTTGTTAAGTAAAAATATTGTTTGATTATGCATCATCATATGATATATTGCAAAATTTGCAAAATGTTTGAAAAAATAGTTTAAATCCCCATCTTTATGTTTTTTGCTTGTTTTCTCAAAAACATATTTTTAGCATACATGTCCAATGTCCTTTTGATTGTAAGTTATGTTGTTGTGTCAAGATCTACTTCAAAAGACATGAGTCAACTCTACTAACATTAGATGATTCAACAATTTTAAGAGGAATCGTGTTTTGTATTGTTTTGCGTCTTACTTAAATATAATATCTATTCATGTGTCACATAGTGATTTCTCAAAGAACATATAATTAATCTTCTAGATAATCTAGTGACTTCAGTTTTGAAAAATGATCTTTTGTCCTTAACATACACAAGAAGACATGGTTAGTCCATCAAAACTTAATATTATTTATTATGATTAACATACTTGAGATGACTAGCTCTTTTCAGGTTAGACTATTGAGATATATTTTCCAACTCTAACATGGTGACATTGAACAATATTTATGTTTCAATTATTACTTGCTAGTTGAACTTACACTAAAACAAAGAAAACCTTTAAGATCTATTAATAAACAGTAAAAAATAAGACATAGTATTTTGTTAATATAAATCAACATTAAATCATAGAATTTTTGTTTATTTTACTTCTTTTTTACTTTATACAAATTATGAACTAATCTTGGGCAACAATTTTAGTTTTCAAACAAATTGATTGTTTATCGAAATTGTGATATGTCGAACTAAGGTCAAATCAAGTTTGTTACGAGCTGACTCGACCTGAATGGTCCGACTAAGCCAACTTGCAACGAAGATAGAGCTAAGTCAACCTAAGTCTAATCAAACCTTATCTATCTTGATCTTAGACCAACTTACATAAGTTTGTCTATAGAACTTTAAGGGTTATTTTGATCTTCTGAGTTTTTTTCTTATGTAAGCATTTTTATATGTGAACATTTTGGTCATGTGAGCCTTTTTATCTTGACCCATGTGGGCAAGACCACACTATGTAGGCTTGGCCAAATTAATAGGTCTATATATGATTTTTTAACTTCTTAATCTCACGGCCAAATTATATATTTTTCTAACATTCTTGCAAATTAAATACAAAATTAAACATTTTTCAAAGAATATTAAAAAAAAAACCGACGTCTTTACGTTTTCTTGTTTTTTATAATAAGTAATTAAATAAATATTAAAATACTGATTTAATTAGTAATTTGATTCCTATATTTAGGTCTTTTATTTATTTTAGTCTCTATATATTTTTTTTACTTAATTGAGTATCAATATTTATTAAATAAAGTTCATATGGTCATTTCTGTTAAGGTGACGCTATTATTGTTTCGAATGTGACTACGTATTAATAATAAAATACTTAATTAGTAATTTGATTTTTATATTTTTCTTTTGATTCAATTAAGTCCCGATATTTTTTATATGTAAACAATGTGGTCTCTTTTTCGTTAGTTTTGTCTTTCACTTATCATAGGAACGAACATAGAAATCACAATTGGGTTCATGTGTCAATCTCTCACAATGAAGTAAAAATAAATAAAGATCTTGGATTTGTAATATTGGATCTAAAATAGTCGATCTTCATAAGATTATGTTACCTAAGAGGAATGAGTTGTGGAGAGAAGTATGGTTTAGATTCACAGATAATACTTTCTCATAATGTTAATGATGATTTCATGAAAAAGAACACATCGTCTCTATTTAAACAATATAGAAACTTAACTGAGTAAAAAAATATAAGAATAAAAATAAATCATAAACTTAAATATATGAATCAAATTATTAATTAAATTAGACTAAAATGGAATGACCTTTCAAATTGAATTAAATTAATTTAACATAAGAGAAAGATTTATTTTTTTAACAAATATTAAAACTTAGTTACAAATATAAAAATCAGAACAAATCACATATCTAAACATAAAAATTAAAAAATTAAATTACTAAGCCTAAATATTTGTCTAAATCAAAATTTTCATTGTTTTCTAAACATAATAATGGAAAGAGTCGATATTAAAGTCTTTTCCAATAATAATAATAATAATTTTTAAATAACTAACAAATCATATTCCGTCTGAGTTAATCCATCTAAAAATTTATACGATTTAAAAATTCATAATTATTATATAATTTTTTCTTTATACAAGTCAATTTTTTTTTAATTACAGTATAGTCAACTTTTATATATTTTTTAAATTATAAAGTAAAAAATAATAATATCAGTAAAAGATTTATGTATCAAATATCACTGTTGCAAAAGAAAAACGTGTACATAATAAAAATTAAAACACGCTTATAATAAAAATTACCATAAGAAATATTTATTATTATAATAAATGTACATACGTGCATTAATTATTTTGTAAAATACAATCCCTTCATTTTAGAAAAGGAAATTTGAAAATAAAAAAGTAAGACCTTTTATCTGGACAATAAAGTATAAATATATAATAAAAAGATATTGAGTGGGAAAAAATAATTTCAAAATATAAACACGTGACATTAATTTTAGACAATTTTATTATTAGGAAAAATAAGGAAATGATGTACCACATTTAGTCCAAGATGGCATCCACCCACTTACCTCTTACAAGGTCCATGGTAGATTAATTCAAAGGGGAAAAAATTGACTAAAAACATGTTAAAAGAAAATATTTCAATAGTTGTGAATTAATATAATTGTAAATAATTGATATTTAATAAACTACAAAACAAAAAATTATGACCTTCCTTCAATAGATTCAAATACGTTTTTTTGCCTTTCTTTTTTACATCAAACTCAATTTTAGTTCCTATACTTTAAAATTAGATTAATTAGTTCTCAAACATTAAAAGTATGTAAACTTAATCCTTCTACGGTAAGAAAAAAAATCATTACTAAATATTAGATTTAAGTATAATAAAGAACACATATCATTTATATAAATTTAATTCTTTTATGAACTTTATGATGATTAAAATTTTTCAGTAAATATTAAATTCAATTATAGAATATTTAATCACTTTTTTAAAACTTGAAAGATTTAATTTACCAATTTGAAAGTAGAAGGATGAATAGAAAAGAATTTAGTGTAAGAAAATTGACAACTATTTGTTGATAGCATTAATGTAATGCAATAATAATATAATATTAATTCAAACAAGCGCATTCATCAGGCAAGCAACAGTGAATTTTCAACGCGATTTTGCAGAGCTTCCGCGTTGAAACATCCAACGCTTTTAACCTTAAATTCGTTGTCTTCACTTCCTTCCTTCTTTCGTCTGATTACATTATCTTCTGCAGGTACCAAAGTCTCTTCCTTTCTCCTTCTACCTTCTGTTTTAACCATTCCTTGTATCTTTTTTTTTTTTTAATTTATTTTCCACTTTCAATTTTGTGACTCTCCTTCGGTTTTGTCTGCAATTTTGATTATTTCAGCATAAATTCTATGAATTTGGATTCATCGTAATTTCAAAATTCAATTTTGAGTAGAGGGTTCTTGCTATAGAACTTGATTTTGATCTTTGGATTTTTCCTTGTTTGTCTTCCCGGGGTGAAATTGATACACAAGATCATTGAGAGAGAGAGAGAGAGAGGATGTTTGGTTCAAAGAAAACTCCGTTGAGAGAGGCTAAACCTAGCTCTGTTAGTCCTGTCCATAGCCCCTTTGATTCTGATAAAGAGTCAAAAGATAAAAAGTATAATTCCTCTAAGAAGACTTTAACCAACACCAAACCCTTTGATGATGATGTTGAAGTCAGTGGCCACTCTTCATCATCTTCCTATGGCCTTTCTTCTGCACATAGAAATAGGTATAAGAACGATTTCCGCGACTCTGGGGGGTTGGAGAGTCAATCTGTCCAGGAATTGGAGGACTATGCTGTTTACAAGGCTGAAGAGACCACAAAATCAGTGAACAGTTGTTTGAAGATCGCTGAGGAAATGAGAGAGGATGCTACCAAGACTCTGGTGATGCTGCACCAACAGGGGGAGCAGATTACAAGGAGCCACCATGTTGCTGCCGATATTGATCATGATCTGAGCCGGGTATTGATCTTGTTATTTTCTCGGTCACAGCTTCTTCATCTTCTGAAAGAAATAGTTGCTGCTTCAATTGGTATTCTGCACTACTCTTTTGACTGTTTCGTTGATGTATTTACAGGGAGAAAAACTTTTGGGAAGTCTTGGTGGCATGTTTTCCAAAACATGGAAACCCAAAAAGACGGGCGCGATAACTGGCCCAGTTGTTTTTGGAAGTTAGTATTTTCTCTCCTTTCATCTTTTTAATATCAACTGATTTTGGTTGTGTGATAATTGTATTTGTTATGTGCTTCACGATATAGATGATCCTGTGAGAAGAAAGGGCAATCACTTGGAGCAAAGAGAGAAGTTAGGATTGACTTCTGCCACTAAAGGCCAATCGAAGTCACGGGCAGCACCTTCCGAGTCAACAAATGCACTTGAAAAAGTTGAGGTTCGTATTGATTTGATGAAGATTTAACTGTTCATGTTGAAGTCATTTGAAGTGCTGAGCATGACAAAGCTTCAGTGTCTTAGTGCTGTGAAATGTGATTAATATCTGACTGTGTTCTTGAGTATTGTTCTGCTTCTGCTTGTCCTCAATAACCACCATATCATTAGTGTGGAGCCAACCGTTTTATTTAAAAACACTGACAGTTTTGCAACTATTTCAGCACATAAACCATCTTATTCTATAGTCAATATTAGTGCACTCTGGATATTGCTCAGTGACTTTCTGCTCTACCTTGTACAATATTGTAAAAAAATTTCTCAGCATCGAATTCAGCTAATGACTAGAATATCCTGAACAGGTTGAAAAGAGAAAGCAAGACGATGCACTGTCAGATATAAGTGACCTCTTGGGAGAATTGAAAGACATGGCCATTGACATGGGATCTGAACTTGAGAAGTAAGTTTATTGGATTCTATGATCGATCTCTCTAATTTTACCAAACAGAGATTCTTTGACACTGGCAACAATGTTTGCTCAGGAAGTACTCCTAGTTAATGATTATTCAGAACCGTTTCACTTATTTCAAGATGTCATAATTTATGCTGGTTTTGGTAATGTTGCAGGCAAAATGATGCTTTGGATGGTTTTGAAAATGATATGGATAAGTTGGTCATCCGTGTGAATGGTGCTAATCAACGTGGCCGTCGTTTGCTTGGAAAATAGGAGTGTATGCCATGAGACTGATACTGATTTTTACTTTGCATTTTTCAATTAAAGGAGCTTCCATGTTCCAGGATACTGGTTTCAAATATGGTAATGTACAATCCGCTTGTGAAATATTTGTCTCTGAAATATATATACTATTGATTGATTTGTGAGATTATTTATGATTCTATCATCAACATCGTGATTCCAATATTACCTCTTCCGGGCATGATTCATTCTATATAACTCGTATTTTTATACCACGAAATTCGTATTTCCGTCACAAAAAGTAATAATCTGTATTGAAGAATTTTTTTTAACTATCAAGAGTTCTTGGTTCCATTTCTCCTCTTGTTTTGGCATAACAGCATGTGGTTTTGCTCTTCAGTGCTTTGGTCTGTTTAGAAATTCAAATCAATTCTCTTGGTATTCCATCTGAATGATAGATTATTTCTGTTAACTTGTTGCGATAAATTTCTGAATTTCAAATTTAAACCATACTAGACGTGCTAATCTAACATCTTAACATTGAAAATTTAACGTCTTAACATAGAAAATTTAACGTCATAGCTTCTCGGTTTATACTGAGCCCATATACAGGGCAAATAATTCTTGTACCTCCATAATTTCAATCTGCACATTGATAAACTTAAACATTCCAAATTCATCCTTTGGTTTAGGATTTTTAATTTCGTATACAAATTCTTATTTTAAATTATACATTCCAAAATATAAATTTGTATTATAGATTGTAATATAAGATATATAATCCAAAATGTAAAATAAAAAATGCATTTCGTAGTACAATTTACAATATAAAATTTATATATTAAAACGTAAAATCTGGAATACAAAATAGAAATTATAGAATCTAAAATTTGTATAACATAATGTACATTCCAAATATATAAATTTAGATCATACTTTTCAAAATTAAAATTAAAAAATATAATTATAAAGGTGACGCAACAGACAGTTTGTTATGTCATAATAGGATAAAACTTTGAAATAGAAATAAAAACTAAAATTAAATTATAGTTTATGAGTCAAAAACATAATAAATCATATTTCAAGCATTCTAAAATACAAAAATAAAAAATATATTTTTTAATTGCATACATTTCATTTCTTTAAAAGTTCTAAAACCTCTAATCCAATCACATATTCCTTATAGTTTAAACTTAATAGGACTTTTAATCCTATGTTTCTAGCAATATTTTAATATTTTTTTAATTTACCTTTTACTCAATGTAATTTTTTTATTTTTAAATTTAAAATTATTCAATATAGTCTATTCCATTAAATAATGTTAACCTCATTTACAAAATGATAACTGACATCTACTATTATAATCACACTCTTTTTAAGTGTTTGTTGTCTAATCTGTGAAACAAAATGGAAAAAATGACATTAATACTAATCTAACAAAAAAATATCATATTAAATCATTTGAAAAAAAAGAACCATAAAGTTAAAACTAAAAAAGGAAAAATATTAAACCATTATTACAAATATAAAATTCATAAATACTATCAAGCCAAAAATTTATTCATTTTCAAACTCCAAAAGTGAGTTATTTTAGAAATATACTGACTTTTAGTTCCCCGAGAGAGACTAATATGCGAATGAATGAACAAATCTTTCAAAAGAACACATAATCACGACATTTGTAAGGACCAAAAGTACATTTAGCTCTCAATCTCCCTTCATTATGTCCGTAATAGAATATTTTTTTATTCTAAGAGAATCCACACAAGAGAGTAAAAAATCAATCTAATTTTTTTATACTTAAACTTGAATACAAACTCTTAACCACACTAAAAAGACAATTATTTGTCAACCATGTTGATGTCTTCCAATGGACTTAAATGGCATTTCCTAACTAAGAGTGAAACAAAATCACTTCTTTATCATTGGACTTCAAACTAAATTTTATCAAACAGTTTACTTACAACTAAATGATACAACTTGCATGTTCCTTCAAATCTAAATTATTGCATGGTTGTAACTTTCATGTGAAGCCAATAATAGCTCAGTACATACAATTACCATGAGCTTGAAATTGCATTAGTCCAGTGCCAAGTTATTTGCTATAGAAACCTTCAACTAATGTTTTCTCTGTGTAGCACATGCTGGAGCATCAAAGTTGGGGTATACAATAAATGCAATGGATAAAGGAGTAATGTATATTGGAGACCTCACATTACTACTCACTGGATCCAATTTTGGAAGATCTCCCTGGTCTGTTAACTCCAGTGGAATACCATTAAGAACCATGGTTTGGCTTTTCAGATAACCATCTTTTGGAGTTAAGTGGTACTCTTCCCTAAATGTGACCTCTGACCCTTTTGTTCCTACCCAAGAAAATGTCTTCTTCAGTTTATCAAAGAATGAGTTTTCCTTATGGATGTTTGTGGCCACTTCATTTTCAATACTTGCACTCACAGGGTTTCTAATAGTGAGAGTAAAACGTGTCTCATTACTTAAGTTGATTAGAAGTAGTGTCACACCAACCTGTAGAATGAAATTGATAAGAACTAGAAATATGCTAAAAAAAATACTGAATCAAAATATATACTTCTAATGCCTCAGAATGTTAACTCAGAATATAAAGCTCAGGTCCTAGCAAATTTCAGTTAAAAATAATTTCTAGTATATAAGAGTGACAGAGTCACACCTCTACACAAATTTTCCCAAATTCATTACAATTTTGTATATAACTATTAGACTTGTATTTAGTTGGTCTCTTTTTCTGTTATGTAATGTACAGACTGTACTTAGTTTATTTTCTGTTTTTAGGCAGTTTCTATGGTGTTTTGTAAGTTATGGCAGTTCCTTTGTTTTGGTAACTGTCCATAACTGCTGTCTTTTCTTTTTCTGGTTCAGAGTCTATTTTATATATACTCATGTGTTTCTGTTTTAGTTGAATTGATTGTACTCAGAACTTATCAGAAATACAGATTCATATTTTACTGCACCGTTCTTTTATTTCTCATTTCCTCAACTTCTCCAATTCTAATAATAACAAACCATCAAAACAAGGAATCAAAGATTTTATTGTGTTGATGGGTTAAAATTCAATTTGTTAAACTTTTGAGCCTATAACTTCATGTGAAATATTCTTGACTCTAATGGTTAAATTTAAATATCAGGTGTAAAGTGTGCTAAGCTTGATATGATATTATATCATGTTTGATTTTATGGTAGTTGGAATGCTATTAAAAATATCATATATAGAAAAGAAAACCAGATAGTAATGTAATTCAATAGCTACCCAAGTTGAAATAAATTAGGGAACTTACCCTGTCTTTTGAACAATGGGCATAAGCACGTAAAAAGGGAGAAGAAACATCACTTGAAACTGCAAGAACCTTCTTTCCCATTAATCGATGCCACAAAAGTGCACTGTTTAGGAACAAAACCAGAAAACAGGTTTAGATATTCTCAAACATGATAGCATAAAACTTGAAGTGACCTTCGAGAAAAAAAAAAAGTATTCCTTTTTTTTTTTGCTTTTTCTATTTGCAATTTTCTATATGTACTTGCCTGTAGTAATCAGGATTAGGATTGAGGGTTGTGGTATTGAGAAGTCCATAGTTCCCTCCAATTAGGGTCTGCCTACAATAGACTTTAGTGTTGTAGCAGGATGCTATTCCAAGTTGATCTAAGTACCTAAGTCATTTCAATTTCAAAACTCACAAAGAATCACATCACTAGTAATTGTTTTTGCTAAATATAACATCATAATCTGTGCTTCAGTTATGAAGAAGAGGAACAGAAAATGATGGAAGGAACGGACAACCATATCACCTACCAAAAGGTGTTAAGAAAAGTATTAGATACATGATTGCCACCGCTGTTGTATGCCCCACCAGCTTCTCCTACCCATGCAGAAGCCCAAGGACCATATGTTTGAATGGTTTCAGAAAGATTGCCAAAAATTGATTTCACCCTGCTTAAGCGTTCAGGATCTAGAATCTTCCTTTCAAGATGCTCGTCACTACCTGAAAGAGAAATTTACTCAGAAATTGATCATCAATGACAAACAGCAGTATTTTTCCAACATGTAAAGAAAGTTTATCATCTTTTGCACCACATAAGCTGATAAGGTTAAGCCTTGAAATAAATATATCAATTGCCAGGAGATGTCTCTAGCACTTATGAGAAAAATAAATTAGAAATACTGAGTGTATTGAAGTATATAAGGAGGTAGTTCTACATACGAAACTTTCATGTTACCATTCAATATTAGCATAACAGTCTTTGGGTGGCTGTGAAGATAATCAAGCAGATGGGGGGCAGCTAAGACGTGTCTCTACGTAAATTAGCAAATCCAACCTTCACAAATTAGCTATCTTGATAATGAGTTTTGTTAAAAACGGTCGATCATACTCCGTTTTAGCAAACTCTTGCAATTATTTGGTTTTACAAACGTGCAGCATTTTCCTTTTAAAGAATGTAATATATAATAAACAAATATGATAAAGATCTCAAGCTTGCCAGAACAAGTTTCTCCATAAGCACTTCAAGGAGAGAAAAATAAGAACAAATGTAATAAGCACTTCAAGGAGAGAAAAATAAGAACAAATGTAATAAGGTTCTCCATAAGCTAAAATGAGTTTATGTATTATAATTAATGTTAGCTTGCGGACAAACTAGTTTCCTTTGTTTTATTCTCTTAAAAGTGTTTATGGTAAAGTTTGTCCAAGCATATCCATCATCTATGTTGTCATGAAAGAGAAGCAATGAACATTACTTGTTGCCTCTACGGATAGTAACTCAAGCCAGTGTTTTTGTTAGATATTATCATTATTTTCAAAGAAAATGAAAAGAAAAACTTCTTTATTTCACCACACATACATAAAAATGTTAGCATGAAGCACTGTCCTTTCCACTAGATCATTTCAATCACAAGTCTCTCAAATCTCAAGAAACTCCTCTTTTCCCTCTAAGCTTCCTATTAAAGGGCTCCTTTATGCTACCTAACTCTTAGCCTCAGAAACTACCTTACAATTGTATTTTTAGTTTTTCTTTTAAACCTCCCATAATAAACCTACAGTCCTGTCTAGTTATCAACTTGCTGTGGTTGCTCTTGCCAAACAATACCACCCTCGGAAACAAATTTTTCCTCAAGGTTAAAATCAGGAAATTTATTTGGTACAGTATTCCTACGTGGATTCCTGAGATGTTTCCCCTTCCATTGCACTGACACTTCTTGTACTGGTTCAGCATTTTAACTGATCGATGCCTTGAATGTAAGCCAGAATTAACACATATGTCCATGAAATTCTAATGGTAGTGCAGCTTTCACTGAATGATCCCCTACTTCCTTTTTGAGCTGATATGCATGGAACATAAGATGCATTTGAGCTTGATTTGGGATTTGTAATTTAAAAGACTGATTGCTTAAGAACTAAATATGATCCATAGTAACATGTTGACAGCTTGGGATGAAGCTTGTTAGACACAACTCCGTCTATGTGGCCAAATTTCTAGATGCACCAAATCACCTAGTTTGATCTAGGAAGGTTTGCGATGAACTTTAGTATGAATTGTCATTTGAGCTTGTTCTCTTTGAAAATGAAACTTCAGTTGTCTCAAAGTCTCATCTTTTGTTTGTAAGGTTCTGCTGTTTGTAAGGTTCTGTGCCACAGCTTCCACTATCGTTTCTCCAAGTATAAACCTAGCTTTGAAGGGGGACAATGGCCATAACACCTCAAATGGCGTACAGTTAGTGACACTTTGGAAATTAGTATTGTACCAATATTTTGTCCAAGGGATAAATTCCCAAACATTAGGCTGCTCACAACAAAAAGCAACATATATAGGATTCTAAGATATTTATTCAATACACCTTGGTGTGTCCATCCGATTGTGGATGATAGTGCTTACACATCCTCAGTTTCGTTCCCTATAACGTGAATAATTCCTGTTAAAAAGAAACTCATAAAAGTTGGTCACGATCACTTCCAATAGAACTCTGCACTCTGTGAAATCAACTTATTTCTAAACAAATATTACAGCAATTGATAGGTCCTGGTTAGTTTACAGAAGGAGGGAAAGAGTGTAATAACATAACTGTCTTAACAGTTATGAGGGGGGGCGGGAACAGGTTGTATAAATAGCCTTTGTGTAACAGAGGAAGGGGGGTTGAGAGTTGATGTACAAAAATAGTTCAGAGAACCTTGTTGAGGGGGGTTATGCTCCCAGCCTATTCTTTGTATAGACCCATTCTTGATCAATAATACTGTTCTTTCATTCATCTTTTGGTTGTTCTGTGTGCTCGTGAGTGAGCTTAGTTAGGTTCAATACTTAGGAACCTAACAGCAATAGATTGACCTAAATATGGGTGTTTAACTAAAATAAAATGGTCATACTTTCTAGGCCTATCTACCACCACCAAAACAGTATCAAAACCTTTAGATTTAGGTAGGTTCACAATGAAAACCGTTAGATCAAAGTTCAACAGACCCTTCTTTATTTGGTTTCGATTCCTGTTCTTAAACAATAAATCATAAGGTCTCATCAAATGCAAGTGCTATTTGCTTCGTTTGACAAATAAAGCACATTGCTTAGTACTCTTCATCTAGTAAGCTTTACGTGGAAAGATGATAAATATACTTTGTCTAATAGATGATAAGTGATACGTACCCAAGAGATAATAAAAATAGGTGGGGCAGAGTTTATAAGAGGAGAGAAAAGGGTGACGTGGCTTTGTGAGGGAATTGTGTTAGTTAGAAGAGAGAGAAAATGATTTGTTATATATTATGAGGTGTAGGCTGTGAGGGGGGACACGTTTTGTTATTCGGTGGAGTGGGAGGAGAAGAATTATTACGATTCTTCTCAGGAGCGAGGCTCTGGACAGAGGGTCTTGAACCTTCTGAGCTTTCTGTTTTATCATAACAGTGAATTTTCACCATTATACTTTGCACACTTCATATTTTCGATTGTTCCATTTATTCCTAAACTTTGATTTCTATTAATAAGCCTTAAGCATTTCATAGTAGATATAAAAGATTTATAAATGCTTATACTTTGTGTGTAGGGAATGCTTGTCTCTTCATTTCTTTCAAGAGAATCTTGCAGCCGAGTCATGCCCCCGATTGAGCAAGTTGATAATTCTAACCACAAAAAATTTAACTTTGGTGTTCGACCTCCTTTCTTTCAACAAAATCCTCTTTTCTGATACTAAGTGCTCTATCTTCCCTGCCTCATTAATATGATCTTCAGCCAAAACAACAATCCTCAATCTTTTCTGGACATTTATGATTTGGACCAAAGGCTCTGCCAGCAAAGATTTGCATCCCTCCTCTTACCAAATTCAGGATATAAAAGGTTCATGGTTTCTCTAATCCTTGACCCCATCTGACCCAAATGAGGCTTGGCACATTGACAACCCAGAGAACAATTTCCTAACCCCATGCCACGTTCATCCAAACTCGTTGGATGAGTGTGCACTAAGCATCCTTCCTTGAGTGTCCATTTGAGACAATTCATCTTCCACTTTTGATAAAGAATACCTGAATTAGGTTCCTGATACGAAGGTCACCTGATGTGTTGTGTAATATCCTTCATAGCATTCTTCAGATCTCATGCAATTTCCGTGGCTTGAATCACATCTTTTGGGTCATGCAAATGACTCTAGTATATATTCTGATTCAGTCCTGCCAATAAATATCCCATCAATTGATCTTCCCTAATATCTGTTTTGCTTGAGACATCAAAATTTCAAATTCTTAGATGAAATCTTCAACACTTCTTGACTGCTTATCGGAGCAAAGCTCTCAAAAATTGTGTTTTGTCCACTGTCTCCAAATCTCCTTGACAGTGTTGATGCAACATCCTCCTAAGAAGGGTTCCTCAATTTTTGTCAACAGTACTTGAACCAATGATCAGTGTTTTCTTCCATGCTAATGAGGCCTAGGCACAATTTTTTCGACCTTTTGACGTTTTGTACTTCAAAGAATTGTTTTGCCCTTGCTATCCATCCTTGTGGATCATTCCCTTCAAAAAGTAAAGCCTTTATTTCTCTCATGTTCAGTATGCTTTCTTTCACTAGAGTCATGCTTGTTCTGAGGTCTTCAATCCCCTTCCTCTGTTTACCAACCATCTCTCCAAAGCACTCACTACTTTTTTCGATTATTCCACTCATAGATTGAGGAGGTTGGACCAAAATAGTTAAGAATCAGCACTATTTTAAAGAATAAAAATGAAAAGAAAATAAAAACTCTTTATTTCAGAAACGTACAAACTACAAAGGAGCACTCTCCTTTCCACTGGATTATTCCAATTACAAGTCTCTCAAATCTCACAACCTCCTCCTCTTTTTCCTCTAAGCTTCCTATTAAAGGGCTCCTTTTATCTAACTAACTCTTAGCTGTAAAAGCTACCTTACAACTGTATTATTAGTTTTTCTTTTTAAACCTCCTATAAGAAAGATGCAATGCTGTCTTATTATCAACTTGTTGTGGGTGCTCCTGGATAACAATAGTATTAACCACAAGAACTGAGAAACAGAAGCAAAGGAAGGACTGTCCAGAGATTTCAGATTATTAATCATTTGGCAAAAATGCCTACAGTAGAAAGAATTAAGTGACAGTCAAACCTGGGCCCAGATTGTATAAATGATGAGTCAGAACATTGATTATGCCTGAACCAGAGACCTGAAGAAGCCTGTCATACCACTGTCTTTCATAAAATCCTCCAGGTGCCACAAGTGAAGGCTTGAAGTTGGAGTTCTCGTACAATGTTCCTAGAATTTGCTTAAGCTTTATCAAATCTTTCCCATACTGTGCAACCCCAACACTTGCACCAATGCCCTTACCACTCAACTCATTTCCTACAGCAGCAGATTCAAGAACAAGGTTAAATCAAACAAAATTAAACGTAACAAATAACCCTTCCACTTGTTATACGTAGTCCTACCAAGTTCCCATGAATCAATCTTGTATCCCTTTGAAACAGTATATTTTATAAAATCATAAGCATTTGTGGGGTCCCAGGCTCCTTCCCAAACATTATGACTAATCTGGTGCTTCCCATGGAGTGCATTCAAGCCAAATGTCACAATGGCCCTGCAAGTACCAAACTCCAGTTAAATTACGTCACAGCTAAACAATTCATCCCTCATCCCTTTCTTCTTTCCCTCTACCATTATATAATGCATATAAAGACGTAGTATACTAATCATGCATGTACTGATATTTGTATTCCATGTCTTAATTTATTTAGACAAAGTCATGTAACAGGAATGGAATCAAGCCTACAGACCATAGACTAGTATGTCAGATATTCGCCCGAACAAAAATCTACACCAATAATTGCAAAAATGGAATATAGAAGCTTCAATAATTAAAATAAAGCATCTAGAGAGTGTGGTAACCAAGTTATTACAATATGCTTTTATTTGCATGGTTTTGTGATCAAGAGTGGTAAAACAACTTAACGATGCAACTATAGAGACTGTTATATCAGCAATGACTGCATATAAACTGCGTGTTCTTGGAATAAGAAACTAAGTCAGTATTGTCGTATAAGCTTTTATATGCATGGTTTTGTGATCTAGAGTGGTAAAATAACTTAGAGACGCAATTGTACCTATTACAAGCAATGACTGGATATAAACTGCATGATACTGGAATAAACAACTAAGTCAATAGAGTCATTCCAAACAAAGTTCATGGAAATAACTAAGAATGCCAGTAGTGAGTCTCAATTACCAATGAAGGAACGTCCACTAGCATATATTTTTGTGATAAAGCATTTAAACAGAAGCAGACACTCCCTTCAGCAGCTATTATGTTAAAATATGACCCAAGCAAATTAAGGTCATTACTTTGTTAAAGTACCTAATTAAATAGCTCATCTTGTTTTTCATACTTTTGCTTTTAATTGAAGGAAGAGAGGACAATGGAAGAGATGAAGACAGTTAAGTCTCAATGTTAAAATTCTCACCCTGTCTCATTGAAAAACTGATTCAGCTCATCCCATCTTTTCATGTGTAAACATCCCTTTGAAAATCCAAACAATCCACCTTCAATCTTTTGCAGGGGATGACAGGGAGACTTCAAACTTCCTACATCATATATAACCTGGTCTTGCAAAGAACCTCCAAGTCGTATCCTCAATGGCTTGAGTTCTATCATGCAACCATTACAAAAAGAATAACATCATGCTTAACATAATTACTCCAAAGTTAAAGATATTCATAAAGACTTTATAGATCATACAGAAGTAATGCAAATATATACACACCTTGGATGGCCTGGGCAAGGAATGGACGAGACAAGTCCTGAAAAATCAATCCAGATTGAAGTGAATAATGCATACAGCACCTTAATTGGTTTCCATGGTTCTAAATAGGAGAGGTGGGAGTGGATGGAAGGGGATGATAAATGGTAGAGACTGTTTCATTTCATTTTCTATACAAATGAATTTTAAAATACGCACCAAATTCACAACAGATGAATATCCCCAGGGGCAATGGTTGTAGTCACACTTGTCATGAGGCCACCAATCAACGGTGGCACAAATAAAGTTATCACCTGTTTCAGCCTTTGTTTGAGCTCCATCTACTAGAAGTGAACCATGTTCAATATCTTGACTTAAATTGGCTTGAACAGAAGCCAACAAAAGAAACAATGCAAGGTGGAATCTCATTAGTTGATCCACTGTATAAGCTGCAGCATCCAAGTTGAACACAACTAATCAAAATCAACTGCAGTAGAGGATATAAAGAAAATTTATACAAAGATCTTCTCATGCTACATAATGCGAAAGCGTTTAAATGAACAATACCTAATGACTGCTCATGGTTAAATTGTTGAGTGGAAAACAGAAGTAATAGTGTTCATAATTATTTTCAAAAAAATAATAGTGTTTCAAATTGATACCCCAAATTGATAAAAATAAAAAATAAAATGAAGTGAATATTATGATACCCCAAATTGATAGTTTCAAAACATAAGTTAGAACTACTTAGTTGACGTTAACAACAGTGAAGAGTAACACTGGTGTCCTATCATGCTGTGTCCCAATCAAGATTAACAGTGTCCTAAACAACTTTATTGCAGCGAAAGGCAACTACAAAATTGGGAACCGCTTCTCAAAATTTTGGAGCACCACAGAAATAATTTCAAAGTCAGAATTCTTACGTAGATAAAAATCACACGTTATAAATTCATTAACAAGGTCAACAAGAGACAGAGAGACCGGAAGCGTAACAATAACAGATATATTTTATATATACAGAGATTGAGATCCGAATGAAACATCAAAGAATTGTGAGATCACGGTATTAAATACGAAGGTGCAAAGTTTTAAAAATTATCAGTGACCGGCGATTTCAGCCACGGTATCAAGATTTTAGAAAATTATTTAGTGACTGCATCTATCACATTGGTCTGTCGCAGTATTGAAGATCACGACAAAACTGCCACAGTAATTGAAAATCTTTCAAAATGTGGAGTGAAATGAAGTGGGTTTGACCTTCCTTGACTGGTTGATGCAAAATGTGGAGCTATGAACTAAACACAGATGACAAGAAGAAGAGGAACCCAGAAGAGAAAAATGAAAAAGAAGAAGAGGGGGTACAGAAAGGAGCAAACTTTGGAAATGGTGGGTGTCAACTGGAAGCTTCTTTCGCCATTGATGAGTCCCAACTGTGAGGATCAATAATGGCAGAAAAAAGGTACTTTCTTTTCTTTAGTTTTCAGTGTCGGTAGGCTGAAGTTTATGTCTGATGCTCAGATAAATAAAAAATTAAAATTCAATAGAAAATATGGGTCCTTGTATTTCAGAGTGGAAAGGATAATAATTTCCCTATTTAGGTTCCTTTCTTCCTCTGTAAGACTGTAGAACGTAACTGAAAGTTGCACATAAAATAAGATAAACTGCACAGCATTAATAATAGTTAATTATAGAGGGAGAATTATTGTTCCACTATCCTGACATGGCTGCTGTATAGATGGTTATGGAAAAAGTAAGAAATTTTAAAGCAAAATAAAATTAGAAATCACTAAATACTTTTTTGTTTTCTAAAACGAAAAACGAAAATTTAGTGATTACTAAATACCACACATTTTCCATTAAGAAGATCATATATAAGTCAATTTTAATCAGTAGAAGTTATTAATTGTTTCTCGTACTTTTAGCATATTTTATTAAATATTTCAGAAGATTAAATATTTTTAGTTAATTAACTTAATGCTTTTCAAAAGTAAATATTTTACTCTGACCTGATTTATTTAACCCAATCTAATTTTATTAAGTATGAATTATCACCAGATTTCGAGTTTAAAATTTGTGAGCTGATGGTTATTTTCGGAGTTTAAAGGAGTTAAATTGTCACATTTCAAATCAATCATATCATTAGGTTATGTTTGTTTTAAAAGATTAATTTGACATGGAAAATGTGAGTGATGATTGCTTTAAGATATAGATAAGTGTAAGTGAAAATATTTAAAAGGAAAATTTATAAAATTTATAATAATTTAATAAATATAATGGATAATCAAATTCTATTAAGATTAAAATATAACATTATAATTTTATCTTTATAATTAAAATAATTGATTAAATATTTTTTTTAGTCTCTTATAAAAATTAAAATTATTCTTATAATTTTGATTTAATTTAGTCTCCTATTTTTAAAATTACGTAAATTTAGTTTTTTTAATTAAATTTTGTTAAATTTATTTAATATTTCAAACACATTTCTCAACGAAGTCCAAATATGTTAAATGGTATAAACAACTTAAATGTTATCATGAAATTTGAAATGTCAAATAAACTTAACAAAATTTAGTTAAAATGACTAAATTCAGACATTTTTAAAGTTGAGAGACTAAATTAGATTAAAGTTTAAATAATTCCAATTTTTATTTGAAGTTAAAAGACCAAAAACATATTTAACCCTTAAATAAAATCTAATTATTGATATTATTAATATTATCGTTTATCTTATTCTCCATTTTCCTTATTGCCACCAACAACCATCCTATCTACAATGTCCCAACCATCACCACTATGACCACACCAGTAACCACCATGAATACACCAACAATCACACAAGTACATTAACAAACACCACGAGCACACCAAAAACCACAAGTCAGCAACCATAAAAAAAAAAGACATTCCCTCTTGCTCGTTCCGTACTCCATTACTTTCTACAGTTCATTGTATGTATGGAACGAAAAAAAACCTTCCATCTTTTGAGCTCTTCTCATACGCTGTAAAATGCAAATGCAAAATGTTGAAATAAAGGAAGGTTTATTTGATAATTGCACTATGCATATGTATAAATCTCCTAACTTCAATGAAGATATAATCTAAGGTTTCTCCCTCATATTCGCTCCCCATTTACCTGTAAATCCCTTGATGCAAACGCGAGTCTCACTCGCTCACCAACGATAAATTCTTTGAAATAAACACAGTCTTAAGGAGAGTTCTTGGTGTGGGATCTTGGAATCAACTTAGGCGTGGTGAGGATTTTTGTTTGTATGAGATCCTAGAAAATTACAACAGTTAGTATCATGGTGGAGTTGGTTAAGATAACCAAAAATGTGATTTTTACAAGATTATGGAAAAAAAAGAAACATTGGTGAATATTTATTCAATTAAAATGGCTACAAACTGAATCCCTTGATATTTATTGTTTTTAACTCATGAAAATGGGAGTAATTAGTTATGGAATGAGATTTGTGACATGAATCTTTTCTAGGTTGCAAGATTTAGGGAGAACAAAGCTCTATAAATAGGATAATAAATACGATAAAAGGCAAGCTGCATTTTACCCTCTAAAGGATGTGTTGCAAGCACAAGAAAGAGTGGAAGAAATGTGTAGTATGACGAAAACAAAAGGAAGAAAAATCTTAGAAGAATACAAAATGTTTAAGAGGAAAGGGAAGCTAACTAGTTTTGATCTCTATTTTGGGTATGAATTGAGTCCATATTGTGTTCATACATATGCATAAGGGAAGCTAACTAGTCTTGGTCTTTCTTTGGGGTTTGAATTGAGTCCATACTATTATTATATAGGTTTTCCTATGATAAAAGTTAGTTTTTGCTAAAAAGATACAAAGTGTGTTCACTATTGTGTGTAAGGTAAGCTAACTGACTTTTTGTTTTACATGAATAATGACATGGTTTTGGATGAATTTGATGATAGAAATCTAACTTCTTTTGATGAGATCAAGGTGTGAGGTGTAGGTTATGATTTTAGGATTGAGATATTAGAAAATATGGTAATTAGTTTTCAATAATGCTTGAAAGGTGTTGACTTTATTATCTCATTATGCTTAAAAGAGTTTCATGTGAATTAGGTTGAAATTGATGTTTTTGATGATTGAATTGGGGTATAAGGGCTAACAAAGTGTTGTTTTCAAATTTAGAAGGATGATGATTTTAAGTGAATGTAAATTTTGTAGGTATTTCAACTTGTTTTTTAAAAAATGTGATTAAAAAAATGAATCTTTTGAAAGTGTTTCATTAGTTGGGAAGATTGCTGGGAAGAGTGAAGTGTTTCATTAATTAAGAGATTGCTCAAAAGTATAATGCATTCCATTAACGGGAAAGGCTGCTCAAAAGAGCATTTTGTTTCTTCATAGCGGGAGAGATTGCTTAAAAGAGTAAACATTATGTGCAATATTTGTTCTATGTATTTGATTTACAATCTTTGGGTTTCAAATTCTAAAAGTTTGGATTTTGTTAAAAAATGTTACATTTTTTGAATGAGTTTCATTTTCTTTGTTAGAAATAATATATGTGGAAATTATATGTGGAAATTATATGTGGAAAACTACGGTTAGAAAAGACGAAGTTTTTAAGTTTGTCTGCTGTGACTCATCTTTCGCTTTTGGGGGTCTACTTGATAAACTTTCATATGTTTTACTTTTAATGAAGATAAAGATTCTTGAAAAAATTTATATCTTTGGATGTTTGAGATTTTTAACGATTTATGAATTTGATTTAAGATTGAGATTTTATGTTGTTTTATTAGTTTATCTTTGTATATGTAGTTTTCACTTACACTGATCATATTATAGGGAGTAAATGATCGTATAGGTGCTTAGATGATGCACAACAGTGAATAATAAGAGTTAGATAAGACTACTAAAAATTAAAATAATTATATTTAAAGTTTAAAGAACAAAATATACTAACATTTTATATATAATTATGAGATTTTTTAAAATATAACGAGAACATATTTATTATACAATCTGTATTTCATATTTCATAATGCATATCTGATTTTTCATTATTAACAATTTGTTCTTTTATCACCAAATTAATAACATCAAATTAACTTTTAAAGATTTATTTCAAATTATTTATCGCCATTTTATTTTAATAATTTTTTCATTATTTAAAAGAATTAATTATCATCATTTACAATATTGAAACAATAAGGAAATAATAAAAGTTTATATTCTACACTCTATAACCCAATTAATATTTATTAAATTTTAATCAGTTTACTTTATTATTCACAAATCTACAACCTAAATTATTTTAGAAGTTAAATTTTTCTCCCCTCTTTTTTTAAAAATAATTTGCAAAAAATGTTAGTCCACAATTCGGTTAATTCTAGCTAGAATTCCAACAAAAAGAAGTACATAATAAATATTTGGTAAATATACTCCAAGGATATAGAAAGTATATATATATACATACATGTATCTTATATGTATACATATATTTCAAAACTTAGATACAAAATTACACTCTTTCTTTTAATTTTATTTATGATTTTTGTTAATAAGTTTATTTTGATATTGATAACTTTACCATAATCGTATTTTAAAATTTGACTTATGAAATCAAAATTGCCTGCTATTTTATTATTTCAAATTTTAATTTTAAAATAAATTTGTCAAATCATATATATATATATATATATATATATATATATATATATTAAAAAAATTAGTACAAATAACATGATATCAATAAAATTGATTATACCAAAAAAATGATATCATTTTGTCGAACCATACAAACCAGTATTTCATGCAGACCTCAAGCGTGGCAAATTCTTTCTACACCTCCACAGTACTCTATAAATATAAACATTTTCCTTTTACACAAAATTTGAAAGTAAAATGTTCAGAATATACATAATCCAAAATATATTTTTAACTTTTAAATTATATAATTTACGAAATCTAGAAGTTATTGTTGGCTTTTAAATTGTGAAGGTCAATGTTAACTTAAATTTAAAATAAAATTTAAAAAAACACATTTCTAAATTGTATAATTCAAAAGTTATCGGTTTGTACAACTCAGAAGTCATTTTGGATATGACTTCCGAACTTCAGAAGTTTATTTTGACTGGATTACACAATTTGGAAGTCATTTTCAACATCCAGATTTCCCAATTCACAATGGGCAAAACAGCAATTTTTGTATTTATGGGTGTGCATCACGAAAACAAAAGCGGCCCAAAAATTAGTAGGAGGGTATTGCTTCCTACACCCTGTCAAATTTGTGTCACCCCATCAAAAAGCTACCGGAAATTTCCGTATGAGAGGGAGGAGTGATTGCTTTCCTGAGAAGAATTTTCGAAAGTGTGTTCAGGAAAATAAATTCCAGAAGTGATAGGGTGTAGGTAGCAATATACAACACCTTGCCAGGCCATACATAATCAATGATGGGCAAGAGATGGATGACCCGATCAGTGTCATTACACCGCAAAAATTACCTATATCTTAGACTTAATGGCCTTTTACACGTATAAATGTTGACAGTTGCATGCTTTTCACCTATACAACACATCTGTCCAAAAGTAATTCTTCCTTCATGGCTCGACCTCGACCTCTTCCAGCAGAAGACCACATGGAACACCAACTGCACTGACGTGCCAGTTTCCATCATGAGGCTACCAAATTTTACTTTTTCCTCTTACAAATAAATGATTGACGCTGGAAATTCTCTGTAGTCCGCAATCCTTTCTATGGTGCATCTCTATTCATTAGCTGTCTGCTATAGAATAGGCACTTCCAGGAACCTCGAGAAAAAGCTCATCCTCGATTACACTACTCCCTCGTTCATCGATAGCTCTATGGTCCTGAATTTGATTCATGAAGTGATGTGAATAGAAAGCTCGGAACACTCGTCAACTTAGGATAAGATGTCTTGTCAATGGTTTTACATGTATGTAAAATGTAAATAACTTGTGTTAATAGAATTTTGGACAGTGAGGTGGAGAAAAAAAATCATATTTTACAACTAGCTCCAATTTACTTCCAAGGAATGCCAAAAGTAATCAAAGCAACCGATGGAAATACTATCAGGAAGCAGGTGCATAAGTAATCAACAACCTATATAGTAAAATACAGAACAGCTGAGTGAGTAACCTATAGTAGAACACAACAATAACTAATCAAAGCAACCTATATAGTAAAATAACCAATCCAAATTTGTTTATCTTCACAATGTTAAAAATTGAAGAATACCTGGCCAACAGATACAATTATTTAAGGCAGGCAGATCAGTCTTACCCAAATGGCAATTCCAACCGACATGCACCTAAATGAAAAGCAGCGAATAACTTAAACCCTAGGATGGAAATTTCCCACTGAACCTTACTAGCCAGTCAAGGGTGTCTTTGGTTTATGGAATTATTTTCTAATTTTGTCTATATCTGTTTTCAGAATAATTTAATTTAACATGATTTACTTTGATAATTTCATCATTTTATATATATTTATCATTAACAAATAACTTGTGACCTTGTGTGGAATAAGCAACTAAAAGAGTGGAAATTTTCTGAAATTAAACAGATGACGTTGTATTTTGATAACAAGGCAACCCTTCTTATTGCCTCAAATGAGCAGACAAAACTCGGATTGAATACCATTTTGAATAGTTCAAATTTTGTGAAGTCAAGCAACCAAATATTTTCTTCAATCCAGTATTTCATGAACAAATGGAACACAAATTGATTATCAATTCATTAGGAAGTTGTTATTGAAGCAACTTAGTACTAGATTTATCAACTTAAAAGAACTTGCTGACATTCTAACCAAGTCTTTTAAGAGGGCGTAGAATTCGGTCTATATATTCCAGACTTAGTACATACAATATATGTTCCACCTCGAGGAGTGTTAATAATTATTCATTAATTGTTGTATAGATTTTATAAAGCTTCCCCTTTTTGGACGTATCTATTGTTAGGATTAGGAATCAGGGTTTTCCAAGTATTGTACTTGTTCTCATCTTTTCATATATATATATATATATATATATAACCCACACACATAAAAGACCACTTGAATATAGAGGATGGTAAAAAATCAGTGATTCAGCCTCAGCCCTTAGCTGATGTATATATATATATATATATATAGAGGCTGAATCACTGATTTTTTACCATCCTCTATATTCAAGTGGTCTTTTATGTGTGTGGGTGGGTGGGCGACATGAGACACGATAGGAGAAAAGGAACTAGAGAGATCTTAATTAGGTCTCTCTTTAGAGATGCGATTCTCATAACAAAGTACAGAGAGATTAGAGAGAGTTCACCCTAGAACCTAGATTATATACAGCTACAACAAAAAACTTCTTTTATAAAGTTGCTCAGAAAATATTATAAACTATTCTAACACTCCCCCAGTTAAAGTTGGAACAGTACCAAGCTTGAAATATATAAATTGAATTTAAAGTCCCTTCAAAGATTTTGTAAAAATATTTGCAAGTTGATAATTGGAACTATCATACTTAGTGCAAATTTCTTTAGAACAAAAACGACAATCATTTTTTATGTGTTTAGTCTTTTCGTGAAACATGGGCTTAGAAGCAATGTGGAAAGTTGTTTGGTTATCACAATATATCCTCATTTGTTGGAATTCACAAAATTTCAGCTTTTTAAAGAATTGCTTTATAAACATAAGTTCACAAGTGAGTGACATCATCGCTTGATACTCAACTTGAAGACTTGATTGAGTAATAACATTTGTTTATTTGGCTTTCTAAGAAACAATATCCCTACAATGAAACACTATCCAGTAGTGGAACATCTATCTATGGGAGATCATGCCCAGTCGACATCACAATACTTAAGAGATTTGGATATTTCTTTTACTTTCATATAGTTGACCATGTAATGGAAGTCTTGAGGTATTTGAGGATGCAAATAACAATATTCCAATAATGAGTACGAGGAGTCTGCATAAATTGCCTAACACATAGTAGTTAGCTAAATAATTCTTTTGACGTCTTCTATATCTCTAGGTCCGAGAAAGGTTCACTTTGTCATTAATTTAATTTATGGATCCATAAGAATATCCATGGATATAAAATCAATCATGCTTGTTTCTTTAAAGATAATTAACACATTTCCTTTGAGAAATCACAATAACTTCCTTGGATTGAGTCCCTTAAATACCAAGGAAGTATTTGAGACAAGATTTTAGGGGTTCCACATATTGCCATAGGAGAGCACAAAGTTGAAAGTCTAGTTTCTTTCGTTGTTCAGCACTTTCTAATGATATTTCACCACTAACATGTGCCAAGTGCTCATAGAACCTTGACCAAGGAACCAAATCTCAACAAGTGAAGATCAATTTGGGTATTAATGTGTTGAACATGAACTACAATCAATAGTACGATAAATATGAAAAAAAAGAGGTTACACAGGGATAGTGAGGCTAGTCATGTTAGCAAAATGATGAAGATGAAGTTTTGATGATGCCCAAATCAAGTCAAGCGAAATCAAGATTCAAGAAGATCTTTTGAAGACTTGTATTGAGATAAAAAGCTTTTGTAATAATTGTAATTTATTGTCTAGGACTTAGAATTATAAAATTTATGTTCAAAGTCAAAAACACATTGAATTAATCGATTAGACCTAGAATTAATCGATTAATCATAGTAAAAATTGAAAACTCGAATTGTCTCTGGAATAATAGATTAAACTATCATTTAATCGATTAATCAATTAAAAGGTAGATTAATCGATTAAATTTGACCGTTGGAGTTTTCTAGCCGTTGAACTAGCAGTTACACTCAATTTAATCGATTAGTTAATCGATTAAAGGCGTCAGAGAGGCAGAAAACGAAAAATGGAAAAGTCTTTGCTTGAGTCTATAAATAGACTCTCATTTTCCTTCAACAATAACTCTTCCCTTGTGCTCTAGAACTCAGAAACTCTTGAGAATTGTGTGCTCTTGTTCGGCTAAAGAAACTCTCGTCTGTGGAGCTGTTAAAGTGCTGCTACGGTGACAGAGAAATAGCTGGTTCATCCTTGGTGTGTCTGAGGAAGTATTCGAAAGAGAAAGTCATCCTTCGTGAAGTATTTAAATGAAGTGTTTCATCCTTTGTGAAGACTCAAAGGAGGTGTAGGTTCATCTCTTGTGGCTTCAAGAGAGGTGTTTTCTAAACTATTACAGATTGTATCTGTGTAATTGTAGTTTGTAATTGTTTTGTGATTAGTGAACTGTTTATCTTGTTTTGAGATAGGCGACTGGACGTAGGATTGGTAAGATCTAAACCAGGATAAAATCATCTGTGCAAATTTCTCCCAACCTTACTCTCTTTATTTGTTATTGTTATTTGCTTAGTAAGTTTAATTGAGTAGAAATTTTAAAAGGCACACGTTTTTATTAAAGACCAATTCAACCCCCCCCCCCTTTGAAGTCAAACCAACATGATATCGCTCTAGTGGTGGGAAGGTGGAATGTGGACATCATTTGCTAAGGTGAGCCATGAAAAGAAGTTGTGTGGTTGTGTGTGAGGAGGAAACAAACTTTGCATCATGTCAGGTTCGGTGTCCTTCAGCGAGGTGCTTCAAATCCAGTACTAGCGAGACAAAATGACATTTCACTTTTCTTGATATGCTCAATCAGCTTTGACTCCAAATTACGAAATATCACCTTAGATCTCTTTAAATTAATATTAATATTCATATTTATTGAGATGTGTATCTTGCAACAAAAGGACAAAGGGAGAGAAAGAAAATAAATAAAACAGAGTTCACCCCTAGAACAAAGAATAGAGTGAGTATAACACAAACCAACTTTTATAAAGTTCCTTAGAAAATAATATAAATTGTTCCTAAGTTTATGATCCATGATTTTTATTTTCCTTTGCTAGTATTTAAAGCATGCAAGATATTATCTTTCTTGGCTTGTACCATGTTAGACCTCTACTTGTGTATAGTAGGAGAAAGACAGTTACATAACTTAACTGTCTAGGCAGTTAAGGGGTTAGGGGGTTGGTTGAGGATACCTTGTATATAAGGGAGATTAGTTGTAAGTGGAGGGGAGTTTTATGGAGTATTATTGTTTTGCGGGAACTCTTGTAGTTCTTTGGAGAGAGGTTAAGCTCTCGGGTTACGTTGTAACACCATTCTTGTTGATTCTTTTCAATAAAAGAAGGCTGTATAATTCAGAGTACCTGTTCAGTGTTGTGTTTCTAGTGCTATTCATAGGTTCTTGATTAAAAAACCTATCATTTGGTCCGACCTGCCGGATCGGAGTGGGGTGAAGGAAATTGCGGTTGATAGAATGAAGGCGCAGATAGGGGAGCTACGACCAGATTATGCTGCAATACGCCAAGATTTGCAAGAAATAATGAGGATGATGGGGGCGCGGGCTCACAACAATGACGAACAATCAGGTGGAAGTCATGCTTACGTCAAAGGGAACCAGCGACGGTGCGAGGAGGATATTGGAGGGAGAGTGGGTGGCGATTACGGTGGGACCCAAACCCACAATCACTGTGGCGATCACCAGGAGGTGCAAAATCAATGGCGGAAAAGGGTTGAATTAACCGCTTTCGAAGGGTTGGACCCGTTAAACTGGATCAATAGGGCGGAGAGGGTTTTCGAGCTTCAAGGAGTAGCGGAGGAGGAGAAAGTGCAGTTCGCGGACTTAAGCATGGAGGGCAGCGCGGGCTACTGGTTCAGAGCCTGGAAGGAGAAAGCCAAGAACCGTTCCTGGGATGGCTTGAAGGAGGCCCTGGTGATAAGGTTTGGAACCATTGTTGGGCGTTTGGCGGCATCGAAACAGGTGGCGACAGGGGAAGAGTATGTTCAGGGAGGCGAAAAGGTAAGGAAAGGGAGCGGGA